AAGGAACGTGTCAGATGAGTGCATCTGGATGTCACTGTTGACACCATGGCAGTATCACTGTTGCTTGGACTGGAGCCTGTCCTGCCTCATTCAGCTGATAAAATGATAATATAACCTAAGAGAAAGTTGGTGGACTTAGGCTGTTTGAAGGGAAGGGGCAAAAATATAAAAAGTAAATATAAAATATAAAAAGGACACCTCCCCCCCATCAGCAAGTAGAATGATATATGATGTATGGTGAAATAGTGTTCTTGCAAGTACAGGAAACTGCATCTCATTTTCTTCACTTGGAATGGCAGCCATCAGAGATGTTATTCTCTCCATTACAAGGGCACTTCATCATGTTTTCTCACTGGGAAGGGCACCTCAGTGGGCACTTCATGGGGTTTGTTCCACCAGAAGGGCACCCTGAGGGCACCTCAGATTTACCCAATTGTAAAGGCAACTTGTATGGCACTGCATCACATGTTCTCCACTGGAGGGGCATCCATTAGGACAATACTCAGACATGGATTGTACAGGTGGCATTAGAGGGCACTTTTCCAGAGTAAGGATACCCATAGGGGCCACTTAGACCATTGTATGGGCACCTTATAGGGCACTGCATCACATTCTCTCCACTAGAAGGGCACTCATTAAGATACTTCACACGTTCTTACTCTACAGGGCACATCACCACACTATCTCACATGAATGGGGCATCCTAGTCAGCACTCCATTAATCTTTTTTCTTTGTGAATGGCAATAGTGGCATTTTTTCCACCCTATAGGGTACTTCAGCAATGTTTTTCATTCATGGGGCACTGTATGTGGGGGGGGGGGGGGGGGGGGTGGTTGCCCCACTCCTTGAGTCCACCAGTGTGATGTGTAATGTCATAATAGGACAGATATTGACTATTTGGTAAAAAGTGAAATCTGCTACGAGTCTACCTACGGAGAAGATTAAACGGAATATTTAGTGGAGGAGTGCTACCAGGCTCATTCTTTTTGATATAGCTCAAGCTTTTGATGTTTTTGATTGAACAGGAAAGACACTGTTGTAGCTAGTGAAGAAACATGGGAAACGTAGTTTCACTTCATCATTTTAATATAACAGTAAACTACAAAAGATCTGGGGTGCCAGTCTCTGAAAGCTTCTGTGTGGACTTCATGTGAGGTTTATCATTTTTGCATTCTCTGTTTCTGAAGTGGTCACAATAGACTCAGTGATAATGGCCAGCCATCACAGTAATGGTGCAGGGGTGGGGCTTAGTTACTGTTGCCATAGCAACACTTTAATGAGTAGAAAGTACTCAGAGGATAGATAGATAGATAGATAGATAGATAGATAGATAGATAGATAGACGGCTTTTATTGTCATTGTGTAAGTAGAAATCGATGGCTCACATGTATGTAAATTTTATGTATATTTTTTCAATCAAACCTGCAGTTTTCTCCATGTTTTGTGCTTAATGTGGGCCTTTAGGTGCCGATACAATCGTTACTCTATATTTCAATAGGACATAAAAATAAAATCCCCCTCGTGCTGCCAAAAACCGTTCTGACCTGTTGAGTCACAAACTCCACAAGAACTCTGAAGGTGTCCAGTGGTATCTGGCATTTAACAATACAGCTTAGTATTTCAATATGAATTACACAGCATGTTAACATAAACAGCATACATTGAATCCCCCTCACCCGGATGCAATCACAAATATTTACGGTGATAAAAAGTGATTCCTGTGTGTACCATGGTGGAAGAGCACTTCACACAGTCATACAAATAACCTCATTACAACCATATCCATCTGACAATCCACCTCCACTCACAAGAAGAGCTACTGAAGATACCTCACAAATGGTAACACACATAAACAGTTAAACATGTAAAAACAATAAATACATGCACATGGAAAAGGGCTGATATAAATCAAATGTGTATTATTAGGCTAAAACAATTACGGTAGACAATTTTGATCTTACAAACATACAAATATATAGCTCATTAAGAAGTGTGTGTGTATATATATATATATATATATATATGTGTATATATATAATGTCAATATATACATCTACCATCTTGGAAGTAAATCTATTATGCAATTATTGATGTCTTGCTAGATTAAATGACATTCATGTGTTGTATGATTGCATTGAATTGCTTTGAAGGAATTAAACTCTTCTAGCCTTCACAACTTGGTCCTTGTCAAAGTCGCTCAGATCCTTATGCTCGCCCATTTTTCCTGCTTCCAAAACATCAGCTTCAAGAATGATTGTTCACTTGCATAATATATAATGGCGGCCTTCCATTGTAATGAGATAATCAAAGTTACTCACGTCACCTGTTAGTGGTTTTAATTTGTGTATGCTAGACTTTAATATCTGTTGAAATTCCCTGCTCTTGATTGTATTTGATCATGTCTTAAAGATTAGAGCTTCATGTTTTCCCACCGACATTCTGTAATACAAACTACGCCCCTTAAATGTTTTATTTGAAACCAACGTGCATTTCATGTGCAGTTCAAGTGTTTTATTTACATGAAATGTGTAAGCATGTAACATAAAAATTAAGTGTTGACTCAAAGTCTGGTGTCAAGTACACCATACCTACCACACAAACGCTATGCATGCAGCCAGCAAGCCCCAGCCTGAGATAATCAGGAGGGAAAAGTACGTCTGAAGGATTTGACTGCAAACTCCAAATCTGAGGGAACATCTTGACTGAAATCTGGGAAGCTCCCCCTACCCTTCCTTTGTCCCAATGATATTCTGGAACAGACCATCACGATTTTGTTAAGTGCAGGAGCTATGGTGGAAGTGCCCCCCCCCGCCCCTCAAGCACACCGGGGATTCTAGAAAGAGGAGAGCTGTAAAAATAACACCTACCACCTACGTCTACACACTCCACCATATAAAGCATTCAAAATCTGGATCTTTTTTTTCAACCTCTGCATGAAAGGTACCTGGTCGAGCAAATAATCTGATGAAATACGGAATTTTGGTGGCTGTGTGGTCCTGTGAAATTTAAAGGGTAATTTCTTTGTAAACTATACTGTATCATATAATATAATATCCATTCCTGCGTGTCCAATGCAGAGTTTGGAGTCCAGACCCTATCCTGGAAGCCACAGTCACACAGTCCCACAATGACACGAGGAGAACATACACACTCCACACTCATGGAGGCTAGGCAGAGACTCGAACCCCAGTCCCAGAAGTGTGATGCATCTGAACACACTGAACTGCCATGCCCCCCATATTATATTATATTATATTATATTATATTATAATAAAATAATCGCCACCCAGCCAAGCATGCATTCAGTTTACTGAAACCACCCCCTCTCCCACCACTTCAGCCATTCCCATGTGAGTGGACTACAAACAGTTCAAGTGCGTGCTCTGTAAATTGAATGCTATGAAGTTCTCATAAATAATTCATGCAGTGTTCCAGTGTGCAAATTTTTTTTTTTGCTCTGGCACAAACACAGCTCCATGTCTCAGGCCTCCCACGCAAAACCCCTGCAAACTGTGTCCCCTTACGGTGCAGTGGATTGACTGAAAAGCCTATATAGAGTCCCATTTTTGCCATAAAAACAAAACATAAACTCAGAATTTATAATGAGATGGTCACCTCCTTTAATTTACTTTTCCATTCTGGAAGACAAACGTCCCATATCTGCGCCGTTTGGGATTTCTCTTTGTGATTTTCCTGTCGCAGCTGCTACTGTGATGTAATGATGTCTAGCAGTTATACTATGTATCATATGTCCTTTGTGCATTTCAATCATAAAGTATTGTTAAAAATTTTATACTCTACATACTAAGACTAAGAGTGAATATAGTAAAGAGTACCTGTTAATTTATTGCTTTTCATTTTATAAAGAAAACGTTTTTATTGTAAAGACTGACTTCTGGAGTCTGTTCTGCTTGCAAATTAATGATGTTGCACCACAAGTTGTACAACTATCATCACTACAGCACCTCTGACCTATGAACTCTGATCTCTCTTACCACTGAAGTGTCTCATCAACTAACTGATCCAGAACTGAGCTCCAAACGGACAAACACAACTTGCAAAAACAGATCCCACTGGAGCTGTCTGGCCTTTCTACTGGGAATGTCACTACTCACCAGTCCTGCTGAGCTTTGTCAATGACCATCAGGATCTTGAACTTGTTTGGGGCTCCGGTGGGAGTCTGCTCCACCAATCCCGCTGAGGCAGCAGTCTGCTTGACCACATTGGTGATGGAGCTGAAGAATCCTGTCCCAGCTGACTGAGCCAACTGGGGAGAGTGGGGTGGCTGGGGGTGATGGACAGCCTGGGCTGCCTGGGCAGACTGGGCAGGCTGGGCAGGCTGGGCAGGCTGAGCTCTTCGGTCTGGAGCAGGAGAGGTGACACGGGGAGCCGCTGGACCTTTGGCTTGGGGCGGGGGCTGTGGAGGAGGGTCTGGTCTCTGAAGGTCTGTCATGTACCCATCAGGTAAGTTAGCGATGAAGCTGCTGTCTGACAAGCGTCGGCGCAAGTAGTTCATTGCTGAATCCAGTCAGAGAGCTCAGAACTGGCAGGAGGATCGAACTGGTAGGCAGGTATAGGGCTGGGGAGGGGTGGAAACACCCGGACGCTCTCTGAGTATCTGGATCCACCTCCAAAGGTCCAGTCAGTCAGATGAAAGCCACAAGCAGCGCAGAGATGACGGTGCTCTCTCCCAGGTTTCACAGTGATTCCTCTGAGATGCCCTCTAAAAGGCATCAGCAATCTCTGCTTGATCAGCCAATCAGCTACAGCCCTGGCAGCTAGAATGCCTGCCAGATCTTCTGTCGTTGTCTGTCTCTGCGCTCTCGTTCCTTCTCTCTCCCGCTCTCTCTCCCGTGAGCAGACCCTGCACCACTTGCTCACTCACGCTCTGCCTTTTCCCTTTACTACCTCCCCCATGGCTCAGCTCTTCCCCGGTTTCTCCTCAACCCTGCTTCAGCAGAACATGCTTCTGTCACACTGCAGTGTGGAGGAGGGGCAGGGAGCTCTGATTAATGTCCGCAAGCTGATCAGACGGCTTTCTCACTGCCTCTCTCGCTTCCCGTGGTTTCCCCAGGCTTGTTTTCACATTGTGAGTGTCCTCCAAAGTCCCCCACACTATGAAAAGGTAAGCACAGAGGGGGGGGTCCCTCCTTTCACTGAGCTGTATATAATATTACTCCATAACCTTTTATGTGATTTGACTGCTGAACATAATTTTTGTCTTATTCTCACGATATTTGACTATATTGCTTTTGATAGCGCATCTTTTTTAAGCAGGACTGTTTTCACGGCGTGAACGTCAAGGATTTTTAAGAAGCAGGGGAAATACTCTATAAGCATCTCATTAAAAGGGGTGGGTGTTTGTGGGGGCATTTTAACCAGTTTTATCCTGTTACATTTCCTGAGTCCTTCTGGATGAAGGCATTAGAGCAGGGTAAGAATTCTCACACTGGTAACATGTAACAGGCATTAGGCAAACTAATGATACTCCTCTCCTCTGGATTTTAGTCCTTCCTTCCTCAGGGGAAACGTGTATATTAGCAATTAATGAATGACTCAGTAAATGATTGAATCTCACAGTCCAGCTGTAAATCGTGCTGCAAACTGTGTAACTTTGTATGGGTAGAAAGAGCCTAATTTCCCTTTATGAGTCTCCCAGAAGTCATTTAATAGTCTTTGAAAGTCTTTCTATTTTTGTAACTCATTTTATGCAGTGATGTTTTGTTCAGAATCAACATTGTTTGCTATCCATTTATATATATATATATATATACACACACACACACACACATATAGTGTGTGTGTGTGTGTGTAAATTTACTCAAACACAACACAGTTAGGGGTGCCAGGTGACTAGTGTTGTTGCCTCGCACTTCCGGGGGTGCAGAAGTTAAATGGCTGGAGCTCTGTTCAGTGTTTCTAGAAAAGTAGATTTACATGAAGCAAAGTGAGCCATGAGCGTCACCTACACCTAAATATTTAATTTTTCATGTTAGTGACAGGATATCTTGGGGAACTCGTTATGATAAAGCCCCGGGGTGAGAGACGTGCAGAGGTGGAAGAGGTTGCTGTAGTAGGACAGTGGCTATGCACGAGTGGGGAACTCGGTCTCACTGGGACCATACAACTACCCGTAAGATCACCTGGGCAGAGCTTTGGAAGGCAGACCCAGCTAGACTCAAGTTTCTGATCCAGTCACTGTATGATGTCCTTCCAAGTCCTTTCAACCTGCACTGCTGGGGTCTAGCCAATACCCTGGCATCCCCACTGTGCTGGCAAAAGGTTCCTTGGAGTACATCTTGAGCTGCTGTCCGAAAGCCTTGGGAGAGGGGAAGTACAGATGGCACCATGACCAGTTGCTGAAGGCCGTAGTTGACACCATCTGCATCTGAATCCAACAGAGCGAACATCAGCTACAACTTGGCGAAACATCACCTTGTCAGGACGGGAGAAAAACCTCAGGTGCAGCTCAGGGCCTCAATTAGGCTGCTGGCTTTAGCTTGTGACTGGTAGCTGAAGGGTGACTGAGGGAAGCAGTTGAAGTTTGCAGAACACACTGCAAGGACAACACTCAGGCCAGAATTGGTCTTAAAGTCTGTTCTAAGCAAATGCTCATGTTAAATCTCACTGTCCTTTGAGAAGACCAGATAGAGGAGGCCCATGAGTGTAAGAAGGGAAAATATCTCAAACCGGTAGAGGAACGTACAGTAGAAGGCATGGGTGGAATATCCACTGCGAGCCCACTGTGGGGGGGTGCAGGGGCTTTTCAGGGCAGTCTGTACATTGAAGCTGTAGAAAAAGTGTCGAGGTAGCTGTAAATCAAGAGGGGTGATCCATGTTATAGTGCACTACTTGGACATAAGGTGGGGGCTCATCAACCCCGGGTGGGTCGCCCAGGTGATGGTGACTGAGGATCCAAGGGCCAAAACACCCTGTGACCCTGGGTTCATCACTGATTATGTCTCCAAGCCACTCATCTGGTGATTCAAGAAAGCAACATCTAATTCAAAGCTTTCCCAGAAGAGGAGAGGCTTCTATTACAACAATGGGCTGACACAATTCATATCAATACCCTCGGTTTTGAAATGACATGCTCAACAAGCTGGTGTCCACATTGTGTACAGACGCTCCTCTACTTACAAACTTTCAACTTACAAACTTTCAGAGATACGAACGAAGAGGACTGCAAGTCCAGATTGTGTTCATTGGGCTCCTGTTACCTGTCTGCAACATTATTATTTTTTTTCTGCTCGCCAAATCCGCCTAGTACGACTTCTGGCCCCTACTCCCTCCGCGCAGCAGCGTAGCGTGCGTACTCCCAGCATCCTAGTTCTTAGTACTTGCATATATCCCTAAAATTATGTTGAATAACAGCTTACGAACATTTCAAGTTACAAACGGCCGTTCGGAACGTATCTCATGCGTAAGTAGAGGAGCATCTGTATTTATTTATTTATCACATTAATTACAGGCACCTTCAGATCATGTGGATGTGAAAATCCTACAGTGGGATATACTTCCTTATGCCTGTTTTCTTAAGAGACACTGGATGAGAGAAGAAACTGTCTCCTGTGTACCAAAAGTCATATAGTGTAGTATCAGTGTGGCACTTACACCTTTATGTGAATAGAGACCTATCAAGCTCACTCAGGAACAGTCAGATTGTGGTATACTTAATGACAACTGAATCAACAAGTCAATTCAGGTCAACGGACCTGGCCAACAGCTGGCCAGCATACCTAGTTTTACTGGCATGCATGATTAAATTAAACATGAAAAATTCACTGCTTCTATGGAATTCTGCATGCACTCCAAAAAATTATGGGTTATTTTTTTACCCAAACACTGGGTTGAGCCTGTTGGGTAATTTTGCTGGGTTATTTTCAGTCCAAGTACCCAGTCCTGACCTAGCGTTTGGTTTACTGGTTTGACGCAGCTGCAGGGTTATGTTTTTGACCCAGTACTTGGGTAACTGTACCCCTGTTGTTGTGGGAATCCATGTTCCCATACACCACATGAACCACATTCAAAAAGTTATTCATTGGAACCGTTGGAGGACAAGCACACAAACATCTCTCAAATGGCTGATGTGGCATACGTAGATGTAACAAGGTGAACTGGTTGCATTTTATTAATTGTTTTTAATATTTTTCACAAAGTATTATTATTATTATTAAGACTAATAATGCTAATTTTAAGTGAACTATAACATTAGACTGTCTTTCATCCAATGTCAGTCAGCTAACGTTAGTTAATGTTAGCTAGCCAACTAATTAATGTCACGCCCAGCTTGTACGATCCTCCTGTGTGCCACGCCCCCTCGTTAACCTCATGTGAAACCCCGATGTTATCAGCTGTTTCTTGTTGTTTCATTAAGTCCTGTGTATTTAAGTCCACGTCAGAGTATGTATACCCAATTCCGTCATTAACGTCATGTGCCTGGTTATGCCCTGTCTACTCTTGTCTTCTAATAAACCTCATATTCTTGAAGCTCCGTGTCCTGGATCCTGATTGTCCGTTCCCTGCTCTGCTGGCCATCGTGACAATTAACTATGAGATAAGTAATGGATAACATTTTCAGCAGGCAAATCATTGTGGAATAAACCCTGACAAGTTTACACTGAAGTGCAGCTCAGTTCACTGGCTCGCTACATACTGATGTTCTGAAACTTACTTCTGTCAACAGTAATTAATACTTACAACAACATTTAGTATTTGTCAAGTGATCATATTTAATAATTATTCATACCCATTAAAGAATACGTATTTAATCATAATAGAAGGCAAAAATTAATAGGCCATCATAGGTTTGTTGTTATAAATTACATAATACAAGAGGCTGGATTATGTCATTTGTGTTCTGTCTAATGTTTATCCAATGCTAGGTTTTCAGTTAACCTAGGTTGGATTGCTTCTTGTCACACCGGGGAATCATGGAAGCAGGAATAACGAGACGAGAGATCAAGGAATGCGGGTTTATTATGATTCTTCTCCCAATACAGGACATTGAACATGTAATGTCAATGACATACTGAAATACAGACTGAAATACACAAGACTAATTGACAGGAAACGTAGAACAGCTGGTAAACTTAGGGATTCCACATGGGGTTAATGAGGGCGTGCACACCAGGCGCGCCCAAGGGGAGCGACAGGACGAGACCGGGGACACAGGACCTGGAAAACAAGAGCATAAACGTCAACGGGGCACCGGGAACATGACAGACACACACAACAGGCACAAAGGCAATAACCAAGACAAATAACTAACAAATGACAGGGAACACAAGCAGGCACAGGGGCATCAAAACCAGAGACATGGGGGAACACCAATGGGAGGAATGAAGGGGCCAGGAGTGAACGAAGGAGACACGGAGGGACGAGGAGCAGACACAGCAGGCTGGAAGGGAAAGGACAGGGGACAACGGGGAGCCCGAGGGAACCCCAGCAGGCGAGAGGTGGATGCCGGAGGGGCAGCAGACTATCTCAAGGCTGGAGCCAGAGGGACCCTCGGCGACTGCGAGGCCAGAGCAGGAGGGGACTTCGTAGGGGGCGAGGAGGTAGGTGGAGGGACAGGTGGAGGAGGCAAGGAGGAAGTCGGAGGGGGCACCAGGGGAGGCGAGGAGGAAGTTGAAGGAGACACCGGCGAAGGCGAGGAGGGAGGAGAAGACACGGCAGGCGACGGCGCAGCCACAGCCAGCAAAAGCACAGCTGACTGACGAGCCAGAGTGGGGGAACCCGCAGGCGACCGACGAGGCGTCAGAGCAAGGACCGAAGGCGGCCGATGAGCAGGAGCCCGGGGAACCACAGGCGACAGCCGAGAGGGAGCCAGAGGACCTGCAGGCACCCCTTGAGCCACAGCCCAACAGACCGAGGGTGAGTCAGGGGACAGGGTGGGCGGGAACTGACCCCGGCACAGGTGTCACCGACCGCTCCGGGAGACCGAAAGGTGGGGACCTGGTCAGGATCGACCACGCTGGGGTGATGGTTGGGGTGACCCCCCTGAGGGGCTCATCGGAGAACCCCTCTGGGGTCCCATTTGAGGGGTCCCATTTCAGCTCCTCCTCCATCTC